GACTGGTAGATAAATCTGTCCTCGTTCAAATAAACTGTATACCACGAGTAGAAATTTTTATGATCACAATGTACGACTAGTATTTCCAGGGCTTAATCCTCACCAAATATTTTCTGGGCCACTGGTGAACTTGAGGAAGCACGTGACTAGTCGGAACAGTCACAACCAAAGGTACACTGGTGTGGTGTGCCGGGTGCGGTACTATTAACACCTGGCAATTTCCGACAATGCTGTGTGGCATTCTAACTGTAGCTGACTCATAACCACAAGACTGTGAGTCAAACGTACTCATCATCCCTTTTGGGCAGAATAAAACAAGTATCACTTTGTGGGAACTCAACAGCGGTTGTCCAATGAAAATACTGGCCCTTGCAATAGGAATGTGTGGTGGAGTGGTGGCACAGTGATTAGTGCACTGATGACCTGAGTTTAATCCCTGGCTACGACTAACATCAAGTGGCAAGTGATATCTGAACGGGTCAAACAACCTCCGCGAACTGCACAGCATGGGGTGGCCTTCATCCAGCAGTGGAATGACACAATGTTGTTATGATAGGAATATGCGATTTCCAGCACTGGCTATGAATCACCAACAAGAAATTAGCGCCTACTCGATTTAAAGCTTTCGTGACTGCAGGGATTCATCTTCTTGGTTCTTTCGGTAAAGTCACGTAGAAGGGAAGTAAAAAAAAAACATAATAAAATAATTCTCACGACGTTTCGGCCACAACGCAAGCAGCCCTTCTCCGTGACTTTACTGAAAAGAACCAAGAAGATAGCGCCTACTCATTGATCATTCACGGATGGCGACGCAGTCCATTTGGACCATCAGCTTCGCGAAAGCCACCAGACAAGCGGGAGTGGGCCGTGAGACTTGAGCTGTCTCCTCGTCCCAACAGTGGGCACAGCATGGACCCCGTTGGCCACCTGGGCACACTTTGAGAGCGCGGTGTTGAATGTGTGTGAACGCAGCCTTGTTTTGCTGAGAGCCCCCAGTCCGTGTGGCGTGCACGCTGTAACGTGAGTCGTGTGAGCAGGGTTAATGCCCGGCCTCTCAACAGCTGTTGCCGAGTTTCTGCCACATGTGTTTTGACTCTTACGTGTGTGTGTATATATATATTAATCACGGTCAGTGAGAAAATGCCCGTAGGCTCACAGTGTCAAGCGGGCATCTACAAGCAGCATCATGGAAGATATAATCATCATTCTCATCAAGAGCCATGCATGGGCAGAGAACCCGTCGTTGTCCACTGCACATTTCATCACTAGTTTCCACCTTTCCTGCGTCTTGTGGCAATATGCTCAGGTCGTTGCCACATTTATTTTCTCGCACAAAGAGTCAATACGCTCCTTGAATTGAGCAAAGGTTCTAAGAACTTGAGAAAAGAAACGGAAGGGAAATCTCAGGTGCGGCAGCGTCAGGGGAACAGACGGCAAGATAAGTGTTGTGGGCTGCGGTGTGGTGGTTGAACACACCAGCGTGGGTGAGATGGAACCTTCACCCTGGTAGATGTACAGTGCTCTCAGCACGAGTGGATACAATTGTAGTAGCGATAGAATTGATAAGGAGACGTGCAGCTTACGTCTTTATTGTATGTATGCATGTGGTGGGCCGTGCTGGCCTTAATAGGTGCTCGCTAACAGCACATGCCGGTAGTATATAAGGATAAACTGCGTTTCTATACTTTATATGTAAAAAAACTCAATGCTTCTGGGTGCTACAGAAGCAGAGAAATTCCAGTCTCAGACTTGCCACACTGGCTACCCCACGCCCTCGTCCAGCAGCTCGCTATCCGCACTTTCCCCAAGGCCACACGGGGTATCGTCTTCGTCTTGCGTGGGTATACGTGTCTGTGTATACGTGAGCGGTGGTGCAGCGGTTAGCGCCACGCTGCGCTACGAACCCGGCGAGCCGACTTCGATTCCCACTCACGGCCAACTCCAGCGACGATGATCTGAACCGGTCACGGGCCTCCCCTAGGTCGACTCAGCCTCAAATTAGTACCTGGCGCGGTGTGTAAACATCACCACTGGGGAGACAAAGGCGGCCGGGCGTGATGTTGGCCACCCACCCCCTTTCGCGTGCCGTGCCGGCCTTAATAGGTGCACTTGCTCCAACAGTCTGCTCAGGCTATACGGTGGTGGGAGATCTTTGTCTTTGTACGTGTGAACACCTGTGTATGTGTGTGTATGTGTGTGTAAGTGTGGTGTTAAGGTGCACAGGTGGCGCACACATGGGTCCGAGCTCACAGACGCGTTCGCACGCACGCAGCGTAAACAACACGTCGTCCTAAAATACATCGGTGCTGCTGCTACTGCTGCTTGTTAATTGATGTCGCCCAGCTTGGGCTGACGTGTGAGCTCGCGAGGTGCACGGCAACCACGAACGAAGGTGGACTTCAGTCTAAGACGATGTTCTTCACTAATTATCAGAGAGGGGGGGAGGAGGGTACGTTCGCCGATAAGACATCGTCAGTCTGAGCGGTCGCCACACCATTGGAAACCATTGGGGGGTTTGACAGCATCGCGATGATGGGGTGCGTCAGGGGTCACACTTAAGGGTCCGTCCATAAATGACCTGGGGGGGGGGGGGGGGGTCAGACATTTGTGACGATGTGTGACGAGGGTGGGGGGGGGGGTGAGAAATGTGACGTCACATCAAAATGCGCAACTTTAAATAAATATAGACAACACGTTCTACTTAATTAAATAGACTTTTTAATAAATGTTTTCCCCTACATCAGAGTGCAGCGCCACATTAAATACGCACTACAATGACATGCGAAGCATGTTTTATTTTCAAAATGTAAATATGGTTTGGGGGGGAGCAGAGCTTTGTGACGTCATATTTGAGAGGGTGGTCTGACTTTTTGTGACGCCGTGTGACGTAGGGGGGGGGGGGGTCAAAAATCGTCCAAAATCGCGTGACGTCATTTATGGACGCCCCCTTAGGTCACCAGAAGGTCCCTGAGGGCCTTGCAATGAAGACCACTGGTCTACGAGAGATCCATCTAACTGTGTCAGGTGGGCCACGTTAAGGTCACGGCCAATTCTGACGATGCCAATGCACACACCGCCGTCGCTTCCTTGCGAAAGCGAAGCTCGTATCGTGGCGTGACGGCTGGTCGCTGGGAGGTCTGGGGGGGGGGGGGTCGCCACATCTGACGTATACAAAACAATCTGGGACATATTGTCGTAAGAAATTCTCACAATCACGGGGAGAACTGCGCGTAAATAGATTGTCTTGGATTGCGCATTATTACACAACTGACACAAACAGGACTTGCCCCAAGAGGACCTACACATTTCCCAGGACAGCTACCTGGAAACAGTGTGATCGTGTGAAAACCAAGTCAGGTGGAAATCCTGCTGGGACACTGATCAGGATGCGGCTTTGTTGAACTAACTTTACACCGGACACAGCCAACCGTGATCATCAGATGAGCGACTCTTCTTCTCGTGTTTCCAGTGCCTTGTCCCACTGGGGTTTAATTTGTCTTTGATAATGCTGCATATAACCCTCGTCCCACTGGAGATTCATTTGAATTTGATAATGGTGCATATAACCCTTGTCCCACTGGAGATTCATTTGAATTTGATAATGGTGCATATAACCCTCGCCCCACTGGAGATTCATTTGAATTTGATAATGGTGCATATAACCCAGTGTACCCACTGCCCTGTTGATGACACCATAGTCCTACTGGAGGCTAATGGGAGGTTCATGTCTTCAATTTTAGGAGGAAAAAAGTCCGTATCAAATGTTCAGCCTTGGGTCAAGAAGCATGCGGATAGTTGGATAAGCAATGTGAAGTGATGATGATGATGGGCCAGTAATGGGCTACCACCAAATCAGTTCTCATCGGAGCTAGATTGGCCCATTTGGTAGAGAAAGAGCTCCTGATGAAGCCACTAAAGTTACTCCATTACTCCATCTTCTCGTGTCACCTGAGAGATCATGTGGTTGCTGCAAACCAATGACAATGATCTTGGATCAAACACTGAAGGGACAGGATCCCCGTATTCTTGAACAGGGAAATTGAGTTTTCAGGTCTATACTGCATACAGCCGTTTCAATACGGGCACAAAAAACGTATCTTTGTTTGTGTTTCTCCCTTGTGATGAGACTTTGTAGGATGAACGTTGAGATTTATAATGGCACGTGGTGACCAACAAGGTCTGAATTGGTCTGTAATAAGGTCGGCACTGATAAGGGGTTGACAGGTATGACATCTGCATTCACGAACAAACCACCACGACATTCGTTTTAACCAACCTACTTGCGAACGCTCGGTCATACTTACGAACCCGAACCGTGGAACTACTTTGTTCGGCGGAGCGATCCTCCCCCAAATGTAATGAGTCCCAGCATCTCGCGTGGGGCACAGTGAGCCGTTCATCTCAAGGTAAGTGATAATAAAACAGCTCAGACCCCGCTTGCTTGCCCATCGCCACATATATAACCTCTTGTTGTAACTGCTCTCTCGCTAGTTCAGCAGTTCCACTGCTGGATTCTATTTTTTCCGCCTGAGGACGACCGCTTGTGTTGCTATCGAAACGTCGTTATTTCTTTTCTTTTCTACCCACGTGACTTTACCAAAAGAACCAAAGAGTATGGATTCCTGCAGTCACGAAAGCTTCAAATCAAGATAGAATTTAGTCTTTCATGTGACTTAATTTTATGTTTTAAGTACTACAAAGAATGTATTACAGTATTGCGTGCGAATGTACAATATCTGTTATTCAAGAGTTTAACAATGCTTCAATTGTTTGTTGTTGAACCTTAACGCTGACCCTACATGCGTTTAAATACAAAGCTTTATTGTGTTCCGACTTACGAACCGCGGCCCAGGAACGTAACCCGTTCGCAAATCGAGGACTGGCCGAGATTCTCCGGTGCCCACGTGACGACACTTCGCGACAAGTTTTCCCACGCAACTTTACGACACCGTGGGGGGTGGGGGGCGAGATTATTATTTCGCGACACTTCGCGACACAACCACTTTACGGCACTTAACATGGCGGCGCCCTTGTGATGTTGGGGGCATGCTACGTCTCGCGTGGATCTCCAAACCACGGATCCTGGGCAGGCCCCTTCACTCTCCTTGCTGACCCCTAGCTGCCCCTTCACTCTCCTTGCTGACCCTTAGCTGCCCCTTCAGTCCCCTTAGCTGCCCCCTGCTCAACTCGCGGGCGTCGCTCCTGACGTCGGAAGAAGTCAACATCCTCCCGAGGCTAAGCAAAGCGCGTTGGGCGGCGCCATGGCCTCCAGGTGCGCGGACATCAACGCCAGGGTGGCTTTGCTGACCGCGCGTTTCTCCAAGAAGCCCCCGCTGGAGCCCAAGAGGGCCCTGGCCCTGCAGGACAAGGCCGGCTTCAAGCGCGAGGCCTTGGGCGGTGAGTGCCTCCCCTCCACGTCTCTCTGCCCGGTCAATCCCCACGGTCCCCCCCCCCCCACCCCGTCTCTGGGCTCCGGGTTAAATGCGATGTCTGGCGGCGAGGTGATGTGTGGATTGAGCGACAGCTTTTACTCATCTCTCTGGGTTTTTTCTCTCGGCTTCGCGATGCAGGTTTTTGGGTTAGATCGTGTACGTATAAATTTGTCGAAACCCTCCATCCGACACAGCCAATCCGTAAAGGATTTGTCACGTAAAAAAAACGCCAAATGGTTACTACTTCAGCCCACCGGTGTGTTGGAGAGTGAATCCACAACACTCTACGTGTTAAACTGCGTGTGGACTGACTGCATATCGTCCCTATGGACTTACACGCGATGCCAGGCGGCGAGTGGATGCTGAGGGCTGTGTTGAGTGTTGGGGGTGGTGGTAGGAGGGGAATGGGAAGCTTGGATGCGGGCAAGCGGCAGAGGAACGGGGGTCTCCAGACGGCAAGGTCAAAGAGTGAATGAGAGAGGATGTGGTTGGAGTGCACGGTGGCGAGATGTTAACTACTTCTCCTGGTATGCAGGAAGTTATGGATTCGATCCCGACCCTGACGCCTGCTGCTGTATATTTTGAGTTTGCGGTGTCTCTCTCGTCATCATCACTGTGGCGAGGAGATGTTAACTACCTCTCCTGGTATGCAGGAAGTTATGGATTAGATCCCAACACTGACGCCTGCTGTATATTTGGAGTTTGCGGTGTCTCTCTCGTCATCATCACTGTGGCTAGGAGATGTTAGCTACCTCTCCTGGTATGCAGGAAGTTGTGGATTCGATCCCGACCCTGACGCCTGCTGCTGTATATTTGGAGTTTGCGGTGTCTCTCTCTGTGGTCGCGTAGATGTTTTTTTTCTCTGGGTCCTTCAGTTTTTCCCTCCACTAAAAAACATGCTTTTAGATTATTTGGCTGCTATACATTTACATATGATAAGCCACTTCGTCGAGTGATCATTTGTGGGCAGGTCGCTTTACTTGGTAAATAAAATAGTGGTGGTGTGTGTTAGTGTCTGGGTAACGCTGCCGGAATGGAATTATTATCTTTGCCGTCGTCATCATGATTGCTGCCAATTCTGTCGTGATGATCATAATTATCGGCATTTCTATTGGTTATCGCTGTTATATTGTTTGGGTCCTTCGGTAAAGTCACGTAGAATTTACCGTGACTTTTCCGAAAGACCCAAAGGATATGAATTCCTGCAGTCACGAAAGCTTTAAGTGAAGATTTATCGCTGTTATGTGCATATCATCACGGTCTATATCATGACTGTCATCGTCGTCATTGCTTTTGTCGTCACTATCATCACTTCATAGTCATCACATTAATAATTATGGACAATGATAGTCATAGGTATCGTCATCATCAACCTCATTGTCACCAACATACCCTGGAATAGTGACAAATCAAAGCATATCTAACTCAGAAACATATACATAATGGTTAAAAACCACACGTGGTACAATCTTGCAAGGCGGATGTCGTTTCAAGAAGGAATGATCTGAATTCATAAGATGTGATACATCGAAGCGAGGGGAGTTCAGATACATTTGACTCACGGTGCCTATAAATACAGTGTTTGTCTACCCGGGGGTATTGGTGTTGCCCCAGTTGAGAGGGCACTGTGTTTCATCACTGCCTCCCCTCTCCGTTGTGATGTCATTCATACTACATTATAGAAAAAAAAGTTTTGCTGGCTGACTTCATGCTTGGACTCCTGTATGGCTGACTGGCGCGCAAGTTCGCGTGCGCAGTAGTGATGTCATCCACATTCCAAAGGGTTTTTCTGGATTCGTGCCTCGTGCTGACACCCCCACCCTCCACCCCGGCCATATATCCCACGCAAATGGGCGGGCAGTGCTCGTATTTAAAAAACAATGTTTATAAAACACCGCAGTGTACAAACAAATTTAATCAAAGCTCAGCTTCATAGTACATACATTCAGAATATTTATACTGGAGGAATCCAATAAGCGAAAAGCTCGGCTGTCGCGATTTTCACCTGAAGACGATGGCATGTGTTGCTATCGAAACGTCGCGATTTATTTTGTTTTATTTCTACCTACGTGACTTACCAAAATAACCAAAGAGTATGGATTCCTGCAGTCACGAAAGCTTCAAATCATGATTATAAAGCTCTTGTTCACAGATGTCCAGTGTGGGGGGGTCAGCGCGTTACAACAACAAATAATACGTAAACAACGATAGGATTGCTTAGTATAGGAAAGGTAAGCAAATCGCAAAAAAACATACACTACAAAATTACGTGCTTGTATCTTCACCAGGCTGGGTTAGTATGTGCATGTCCCTTACAAGTGCATAAACCTACAAGAAAAAGAGGGAAGGTTACAGGGACATTGAGGGCAATGGAGGGACATTGTGGTGTGGTCAGTGCCAATTGGTGAAAGAAGCAACAGAGTTGGAGAAGCACAGTCCGAGGGTGGGGGAGGCACAATACCGATAATCATAATTATGACATTTAGTTCTGGCCCAGTGCAGTGTAGTGAAATGGCAACCCAGATCTGATGAATCATTGGCAATATTTCTGATAGTTTATGTCACATATGTTCCAGAGATGTCATTCGCAAAAATAACGTTAATCCAGACCTTAAGCTCAGGGACTTAATGCCGATGCCAATCACTTTTGATGTGTGTTTATTGCAGAGGCGACGTGCATCACGGAGATGATGCTGCTCATGGCATGCTGGAGGCTCAACAACTTTACTGACACGCCGTGCTCCAGCGAGATCAGGGCCTTCTCCAACTGCTCTTCCAAGACGAAGGTAGTGACACGGCGTCCGTCATTCTGGTCGTTTAAAAAAAATGTAGTGATACTTTTGCAATAAAAAATCTACTTTGCAATCACATAGGAATTACAATTCATAAAATATATATAATACTCTACATTAGACCCTTGGTTAACAGTGACATCGGTTAATGGTTTTTTTGGTTCACGTTTCGCTTCCCATAGGACCCCATGGTTTCGACTAGCGTTAACATTTTGACTAACGGTAATGTGTTTACGTGACGCACGCGGGCGTCAATTTCGGCCAATCCGATTGCTCGGAAGTGGGCTGAGCATGGAACGGATTAAAAACGTTAACCGAGGGACTACTATAATCCTGGCAGAGTCGTCCTTGAAAAATAGCTTCTTAGCTCAGAATCAGAATATTTATTGATACTGGAGGAATGTGATGAGCTTTAAAGCCCTTTTTCACAGATGTCCAGTAGGGGCAGATCAGAACGTTACAATAACAAACAGTACACAAACATGATAGTAGTGCAAAGTTCAAGCTCAATGGGGCTTTACTCTGGAAATTGATTTCTGATTCTTCATCAGTCCTAATCTCTCCACTGTCAAAGGAAGGCAAAATGCACGCAACGCATACAAATCCAAAAATGTATTTGTTAAGCGCACTATTTGACGCGTGTATTGTGAGCGCAGGAATAGATTTGTATCAATCGATCTAGACAACTGTACACGTCAAGTCACCATCTCCATCTGACGAAATCTTGTGGGGAGCAAATTTGGTGGGGTGGGGAGAGAGAAAAGGAGGCAAGTGGGTGAACTGCTGAGACTCAGTCGGTTGTCCTATCACGTTGGTTGTCAGTGATGTCGCTTGTCAATCATGTTAGCGTACTTCAATTTAAAGCTTTCGTGACTACAGGGATTGATATTATTGGTTCTTTCGGTAAAGTCACGTAGAAGGGAAATAATAAAATAAAATAAAAAGAAAACAATAACGTTAAGAAAAAAACGCCACTTTTTTATAAAAAATTCTTGCTGTTGGTTTCGCACCTGATGATGATTGCTTGTGTCGAAACGTCGTGAGAATTTTATTTTATTATTTCCCTTCTACGTGACTTTACCGAAAGAACCAAGAATATGTTGGCCTACCTTTGGCGGAGCTGCGTGCCGGCGTCGTTGACGCGTGAATGGCTTTCGCTTCTCTCTCACAGGCGCAGTTGAAGGACGAGCAGGACAGCGGGAAGCGTACCCCCAGCATGATGAGTCAGAAGCAAGCCAACGCTCTCCTCTCACGCTTTCCCATCAAGGCAAACATCAGGCGAGGCAGATTCTGGGATCTGGCATCTTCGCAAAAGTCTTAGTCCCCCGATATACACCACGACAAGTTTGAGGTGCGACCAGCCTTTTATTTTACGAGATGGCTATGGTATTCATCAGTCCAACATTTTCCCAGCATTGCGATAAGTTTATGGATGTTGAATGAGGTTCTGCTGGAATACGGTGATGTCACCTTGTAGGTATGCAATTATGCATGGCTTAAAAAATATCGATTAATAGGCATGTGATGTACGCCTAAAACCATCTGTGAAATAATCTATTGTTATTCAAAAAACATGCAGACGAAGCTGATGTTGCATCGTGGCTCATGGAGCAAACAGAACTGGTACACGACAGGAAAATGAGAAACATTACAAACGAGGCAGTAAAAATCAGACATCGTGATCCCCAAATCATAGCAATTTTAATTTCTGGGGAGTTAATGGTGACACTTATAGGGCCTTGTATTTAAATGATTAGGCACGTGTAGAGATATGGTGAGTTGTGTGCGATGGCGGAAGTGATGTTGGTCAAATTTGTTGTGCACTCTAATAAAGGCATTCTCTTACAATACAGCGTTGTAATGTTTTTTAGACCGTAAATTATAATGCCTAAGGATTTTGTGTGACACAGAGCCTAAATACCCGAGTCACTTTTTTGTTCCAACAATAATAGGTCAAAATGTTGTCGAATTATATTTTCCCATAGTTTTGGAGATGAATAAAAATAAGAATAATCGTACATCGGTGAAATAAGTGAACGTAAATGTCGAAGCAGTCGTTGAAAACATTACCATCGTTTAGTCACCGAGCCACACTGCACGGACAGTTTGAGTTAATGAAAGGGGCGAATCTAAATATTACTCGTCACATTCTTAATTAACATTGCCCAAGAAAATAATGTCCACAGTTGGTGGTCCGAAGACCACAGCTCGTTGCCTTTATTCTCTAGCTACAATGGGAAATTTCCCAAAAATGTCCGATTGGTTTTCTATATTTTTTATGTTATAAGTCAATGTAAGAGGAGTGTCAGTTTGGTTTATCGTTCGTGCTTTGGCACCTCCGACACTGCCCTTTCCAAACGTTACGTTCAGTGAATATGGCCGTTTTGAAGTGTACACGTTTAAACCCACGTCGAATTACGTGTTACACTTTACACTTTTCTATTGAAAGTTATTTCAGAGGTGAATAAGGTTGTTTTCAACGTCATTCAAGTTGGTTACTTGTATGTGTATGCAGTATTGTATACTTGTACGTAGTTGTGTTTGCTGTAAAAAAAACATTAAACCTTAAAAATAACCATACAAGCCTCACCAACTTCATACTTATTTTTATTATGTCTGCCTGTATTTAATACATGTCAATTAAGGATGGCATAAATAGATAAAATAAGTGGCCGATGATTTTGAAATCAATCTCAATTAAGGCTCAAGATGTTTTTAAGGGCGTCCGACTTGTTCCACCCAGGATTTTGGATAATTCATGGAGCCTGCAGAGACCCCATCCATATAGGAGGATGCACTTCGCAGCAGGATTCTACTTCTACTACTACAGTCATAGCTCACTGCAGATGGGTGCCTCGTGAATTGTATTGCTCCATCCCTGTGTGATTCACCAACCTCACCTAGATGGTGCTGGCTCCTTGGCAGGCACCAACACGTGTTGACCTCTCTTGTATATCTGGCTTATCGAAAGTCTTCCTGCATAGTCGGAGTTAACAATCTCCAAATACAAACGTTTGGAAACCTAGCTTCAAAGACTTTAAATGTTTCCATATTTTGAGAAACCCAACGCAGAAGATCGATGGGTTTAACCGTCCACGAAGCTCATGGTCCACCCTAAGCCGCATCCGCACAAACCATGGCAGATTCGGATACCTGGTGCACAAATAGAAAATTAAGAACTCTGCAGTGTGCGACTGCGGTCATCCAGAACAGACCATACAACATATAGCGACGAATGCCCGATCCACAGATACAAAGGAGACATCACGGCGATACACTCCGCTGCTGCTCCTGATGCGGTTATTTGGCTTGACCACCTGAATGTGAAATTGCAGTCGTCGCTCTGCATCTACATCAGCCGTACGAAAGAAGAAGATGTTTTGAGAAGCCGAAATTAGAAAATGTCGAGTTTTCTACTTTTTAATGCAGACCGGAGGAGAGGTGGCCCAGTAAGTTAGTGCACCAAACCCAGTGACCTGAGTTCGCTTCCAAGCAATGTTTGAATCGACTCAATCTTCACCAGTGGCTTATGAGTGGGGGAGGCCTTCATCCAGCAGTTGATTGACAGCTATATATAGTTTTTTGTTTAAATCATCGACTGAACTATAATTGTACCATGTGTGAGCTTTGTAGTTTCTAAAACATCACTAGGATTTATGTCCACTAGTAACAACTGTTTATATTTTACATAATATCCTGGGTGCTGGTAACATTTTTGTTTATTTGTTGGTGCTGTAGGCATTACGTGTATCCATCTAGTATACATTTGAGGGCCATTCATTTGGCTTGGACACATTTATAGTCATGCGAGGCACATTATCAAGTGTAATCTGATGTAGTTTTAGTTTTTTTTAACTTCTATGGTAGAGGAAGGCGAGTCCGTTGTTTTCTTGCATGATGCAATTTGTCACCTTGGATAGAGAATAGGGCATTTTGACCCATGCTGCAGGACTGCCAGGGGAAACAGATGCTTCCTTATTACCTGCTTGGAATGCGCTTATGCACTGATTTCTTATAATCATCATCGTCATCACGATCCTTGGGCAGATAGCCTGGAGGTTGCTTATACCCCAATCGCTATGCTTATCTTCGGGGTCCTATTTAACCAAGTGCATCTTGAGACTAGGAGCAGGTCTTGAAGGACTGATATTGAACTTTACAGCAGATACGCGATCTGGTGGATGGAAGAATGCCATGGTGAAGTGTCGTTGCATCAATAGGTTTGGCCAAGATGACCTCTTGATCTTGTGGTCGAGGTTGCCAGCGCTGAGTTTGAATCAAGTGTAGTTCGTTAGAAGTCATAGCGCAGTCACCAATGACTGCACATAATCCCATTACATTTTGTATTTTCACTTAATTTGGCAAAAATTTCCAGCCCTGAGAAACATTTCAGTTTGACAGCTATGCTATGAATATGTATATCATGGGCTACAGGAAAGTGCACAGCCCACAGCGTGGAAAAGTGTTCGCTTATAGGGATCTCAGAAGTAGTTCTGTGGTGTCCCCTTTCGTGGGCCATTCTCCAGCGTGCGTGGGGTAGCACTGCTCCTGTCAGAGTTGCCAATGGACATTTCTGCATCTCACAACGACGCCAGGGGAATCGATTGTGACTCGTGGTTTCGAACATTCTTCCATTAGGCGCAACCCAACATTTTAAACACATTCCTGCGGAGGGAGCTGGTAGGAACGTTGGGTTGCTCGGTCAATGGCCAGGGTCAACGGCGGCGTAGTGTATTCCGCAAATATGGCCGACTGTGAGGGCGGGCACAAGCCAGCGTGAGTAGGTTAAACGTTGAGTTTTATACGGGCACCACGGGGTGACCAGCCCCTCCCCACCCAGCCCCACCCCTCCCACCCCCCACCCAGCCCCACCCCACCCAACTCACCCTCCCCTCCCCACCCAGCCCCTCCCCACTCTCCCCACCCAGTCCCTCCCCACCCTCGCCTCTCCACCCAGCCCAACCCCTCCCATTTTTGGATGCATGACGGACGGACACAATAATCCCCTGTGGGCTGGTTGAACCAGGTGGTTCCTACCAGTATGAATCAAGCTATTCCTTCATGCATAAGTATACTTTGGTCGTCTGTAAACTTGGCAGAGTGCTCAATCAGTTCATATTTTTTTGAAGCACCCTGTATTCATTTCCTGGTCATGGATCTAGTCGGCCCATGACCCTTCTTTTGGTTGCTAGAATGAGTGCCACTATTTTATCGAGTGGCTGCCCTTTGGAGGCACGAGTCCTGCCATCGGGATGTCAAAATCCCATCGCTGACTCCGTGGCCCCCACTGGAGATGAGCGCTGCTGTTGACGGTCGGGCATGGTTGACTTCACTCGTGGTTTTAGGAGTGCTTCGCTCGAAACGTGTCCACGATTGTTGAGTCCACAGCCATTGCGGTTGTGTTGTAGTGACACATAAATTGTATCCGTTTACCTAACAGGCATAGCTTAGTAGCTAACACGTGTTTGGCAGAGCTGCCGTTTGCAATAGCCCAATGTTTTGTCAGTGTATACAGGCACACACACGCGTAACAGTTGTTCAAAAACAACATTTTATAAATCGAGTCTTGTATGTTGCACAGAAGTGAGAGTGTCCCCCCTCCCATGCTCTGGTGAGGCACATATCTCCATTCATGGCTCAGAGCCAGCGGTGGAGATTCCACGTTCCCATGGCTGAGGCTAGTGTTTAAAAGTGGCACTTGATTTACACTCGTACCATATACTGGTACTTATAGTCCCGCGAGGCACATCGTTTGTCGTGACATTCTAAGTCGAGGGCCCTTAACTAAAATGATTACAACCAGCACTATAATAACATAATAAATTACGGGCTTTTGTTAATCCAGTCCTGGATGTAAGCCTCCCCGTGCCATGTCTTTCACGTGCGCTGTTTGAACAAACTACGCCAAGGCATTAAAGGTTTCGCCCGTGGTGGGGATAATGAGATGTATTGAAGTGACTTTGTAAATAGTTCTGTGGACTTCATCTTCCGCAGTAAGTCTGAGCATTTGTCAGCATTCACTCTTGTGATTCCAGACCTTCGCAAAATGCGCTCTTATCACTCCACTTTAAGTCTTTTGCAAAAGTGGCTCAGACTCCAGGATGGATCCCGAACATCTGCTGCCGGTAACTGGGTCCCAGGTCTTTGATCCGGAGATCTTGGTAAGACGGCACTGGCCGTATCGCTGTTTATTTTGACTCGTTTTTTCGTGATTTGCTAACCTTTCCTATAATTTCCACTGCTATCGTGTGTTGGTATTGTTTGTTGTAACCTTCTGACCCGCCCCTCCTGGACGTCTGTGAAAAAGAGCTTCATAGCTTATCGGATTCCTCTGGGTTTAAATACATATTCTGAAAAATATTCTGATGTTTGTGTGCAGGTACAGCCCCCGATTCACCGTAGGCTGTGGTTCATAGCCGGCATCGATTGGGGTATGTTGAGGCTGGTACTGCACATTATAAAAACTATAAACTATTATTTTATTAATTTAACCAGGTAAGGCTCACTGAGCTGCAATACAGCTCCTTTTCAGAAGCGACCTGGCTATCACAAATGATAGCTCAACGAAGTAGTGGCTTTATCACGTGGGGAATTTAGCGAATTTAACACGTAGGCTTTCGCGACCAATTTTATTCATAATAAAGGTTTTTGGATTAGATCGCGTTATTTATAAATGTGTCGTAACCCTCCACCACCCGACATGGCCAAGCAGTAAAAATGTGTCACGTTGACAAAATACAAATAGTTCACTACTTTAGCCCACCGGTGTGTTGAAGAGTGAATCCACAACATTGAAAAATTTTAAGTACGACGTTTCGCTGGTAATTACATCCAGCATCATCGGGCAATT